TGTCTCCATTGAGCTCTGCACTGTAGAGTGAGCATGAGCAGAGGGGTGTGCATGCTGCTGTCTTGTTGGGAACTTGAGCCTACTTATTTGCCCTGAAGCAGAGGGCTGTTCACAGACACACACTGGCAAGAGGCCCAGTAAGTCACAGAGAACACCTTCTGAAAAACAGACAGGACTCCAAGACCACGTCATCACCTTCAGGTCAGGAGAAACAGCAAAGCTATTCCTGAACTCCAGTTGTCCCCTAATGTACCATATATCCAGCCTACACACAAAAAACCATGCTCAAGGTATTGTTCAAAAGCAGGTTTCTAAATCAAGTGAAAGTATGAGAATGAAATGACTACTGATCCATGCCTATGTAAGCAGCAAGACTGCAACTCTAGGCTTTAGCTAGTGGCAACAAACTTCATGAATCCACCTAACTAGAAAATCCTGTGTCTGCATCACAGTCCCCTTCTCTTTGAGCAGAGAGGAACTCAGGTTCACACTGGAACTGGATATTTCATGATGCCAGAAGAGTCAATCAATAATGCATGCACACTGTCCAAGCACGTATTCCTTCCTTAGCAGTAGTCAACATTAAAGGAGGTATTTCACATATACTCCTTTCTCAACGTGTGCCATTTTTGATTTCCCCCCAAACAATGCCTTGGAAAAGTTTCACTTTTATTAATGCATCTGAAATTAGTATTGATCTTCATCTCAGAACCATCTCCACACTGTCAATTCACACAAACTAAAATGTTATCATTATTTTCATATACCTCTCAACCCAAACGATTCCTGACTTTAGAAACTTAACCTGCAGAGTTGAGGTATTCTACTTGAAATGCTCAGGAACCATGTCTCCTGTATGTACATAAACTGTCTATCCCCATAATACTGACAGCATGAAACACTAAACTCCAGCTTTTCCCCATTGAAAGTTTAACTAAGATAGCACTGTAAAGGAATGCCCTACACACAGTGCAGTGCTGTCTGCTCAGTGTCTCCACCAGTCCATCTTCCCTCATATCCACCAATAAAGATAAGAGAATTAAGCAGCAGCCGTTTTTTATTAGTAAGCATGTGAAACCAGAGTCTTTCTGTCCTTTTCCTGGAAACTACTGTTTATTAGTTTGATGAACCAACCGCACCTTCAAAAGAACACTTATAATCAACAGAACAAACAAAGGTGGAGCACAAGAAACTTGGGAAAGGTTCTCAAAATGTCAAGACTTGTCAAAAGATATTGTTCTTTAGCCTCAGACACCATAAGCCCACTTCAGACTCTATCCCAAAAATCCCCCTGCCTATAACATAAAGCTGGCATGACAAATGGACAATGATTTGACAACTCCATCCCTAATGATCAGAAGTGTAAACTAATATCCACACCATTTTGTTTGGAAACAGTGGGTTTCCAAAGACTTGAAATGGTCATTTTTACTTCATTTTCTCTTTGCACTTTGTAAAAGATATGCTGTGGGAAACAGAGAAGCAGAAGGTGATATTCTCCTTCAGAAAGAAGGCTGTGTAAAATAATACTAAGACCTGTTATACAACCATCTTCAAAAGAGCTTCATACAATACCGAAAGATCTATTGACAGAGCAGCTGTGCCATTTCTTCAGGGGAAAAGTAAGAGTCTAATAAGAATTGGCTGCAGTGCATGTTCGAACTTGAGGTTTTAATGCCTAGAGGTTTAAATAAGATTTACAAGCAATACAATGATTTTTAATGCAGAAGCTGTTTTGGAGAAAAGATGGCCACGCACACAGTCCATCACTAGAGGCTGTTGTGGATCAGGGTGTGGTGTGCAGCCTGTGTTTGTTCGGAGCCCTCACCCGATGTCAATGAGCGGGGGTTTCTCTCGTCCCCTCTTGTAGCACAGGAAGAGCTCGGGGCTCTTGATGCTGCCATGGTTGAGGTTGGCAGGCTGCCCCGTGTAGGTGGTCTCAATGCAGGTGAAGCCCTCGGGCACAGTTTCCCCGGCTGACTTGATGATGACTGCGAGGTCAGTGATGGGTGCCTTGGGCCCACTGGACTTCGTCTCCGAGAGATCTTGTTCCAGAGGGGTGGACTTCTCAGTCAGCCCGGCCACCACGAAGTAGTCAGTCACTCGGTGACCTTTGTCTTCTAGCATGGCTGGACGTGCCTGAAAATAAAAATAAAAAAACACATTATTTGTAACAAAGTACGCTAGCAAGAGTTGCTCTACCTAAAACACTGCAGAACAAGCAGATTGATTGTCCATGTGAGAGGGAATGGATTGTTACTGAAGCCTCAAACATCCTTCATTTGTCACCTGACGATGTCAAAGCTGGAGAAAGCATCAACCCTCTTAAGGCTATACAGCCTGTACAATTGTAAAGGCTCAACTAACAATCGCTGGATTGTCAAACAACGAGGCTAGAGATATTCAGCTAAGTAACATGATACTGGAGATGTGAATCATGGTGGTAGTGTTCGAAAATTCTCCTGAATTCTGTCTTATTTTCCATGGTAGAGCAAACATTCTGCTTCTCGCAGTGAATGCTGAACCCCAGAGCTCAAAACACTCAGAAGCCGTCACTTTTGACTGGCAATTTCGCAGCTGAAAAGCTGGCAGTCTAATCAAGAGGCTCATTTTTAGGTTTCTAATTAGAGATCTATTAAATGCTACAAATGGTGCATGTATAAAGCAACTGCTTATTATTTACTCTTTTATCTATTGACTGAAGACCGTTCCAGAGAAAAATTACTCAAGAAGATAGTTAATCAACTAGGCAGAACCGCATGCAAATTTCAGAACAGGCTGAAGATGTTCAAAGAAGTCATATGCTATTTTCAGCACAGCTTTGCAACTTTAACACTAACGGCTGGATGAGATTGTGGAATCAATTAGCTACTAGCAACCAAACAAACAAGGTGGGCTGGATGGCTTCCTCTTCATTTTACCCTCTCCTATGTTCTTATGTTAACTTCCCAGCGCATTAGGTGGATTTAAGGTGTTAGCGAGTTTAACCACACAAAAAAAGATTCATCAAAGCAATGCCACCTCCCTGAATAATGTTTGCTTAATTCAGAACACATTTTATCCCCCATTTTGGACACTCTCCAACAGCTCTTAAAAAAGGGCTTTCATCTGAAAATTGTTAACAGTCATTATGGGTCCTCTTCTGGCGGCCTGCAGAGATGGGAGGTTTTCACAGGGTTTCTCTTCAGACATGAAGCTGTCACCATGCACACAAACTTTATGCTGTCACACGGAGAACTTCATGATCTCCAGGTCTATATTCTAACACCTCATGAAACAGGTCTACAGCATTTCATTACTTTTCTTTTCCCCAGAATTTCTCTTCAGTAACACTAACCACGTGAGGGCTGGTATCTGTTCCAAAAAAATGTTGCCTTTCACGTATCTAGCAAGGATGTTTATAAGGTTCTACTATATAAAATGGGTGATAGACTTGACTCCTTCAACTTTAACAGCCCAGAAGCAAAGGTTTGGGACAAATATGAGAGAGTTGACTTGAATAGTGAACGGCTACAGAGTAAAAAACTTCAAAGACTGACCAAAGCCTTGTACAACCCATTTCACATTTCACAAGTTTTATTTAAAAAAAAATCTGTAGGCCATATTACCGAGATACAAAAGAAGCAAACAGATTTTCTTTTGGTGGCACTCAAAGTTCAGGGGCTCTTTAGGTTGAACCCAAATGAAAAAACGAAAATGCTTTCACAGCAGAGGAGAGTGTGCTGGAAAATGAAAGGAAAGCTAAAGCAAACATGCATGCTGACAACAAATTCAAAGTTCACAGGCAGACAAAGCAGGAACCGATGCTCCATTTGACCACAGAAACAGCTTTCGACCGCTTTGTGTTTTCTTAAACCACGTTCAGATTTAGACTGAAGATTTCATATGTGGAAGGGACCACTGATCTCCGGAAAGGACTGCCAATTCCTTTTCTTTTGAAAAGCGGGACCCCCACTCCCCATGGCCGGCTCTTTCATCTCAAGTACCCCCTCCCCCCCCCCAGAAGGCAGTGAAAACATACCCAGCCATTAAACAAAGCATTCCTTCTTTCAATTAGTGGTACTTGTAAAAGAAGAGCTTCTCCCTTCGTCAGAAACTGGAAATGCTATACAGTTTAAATTTTTTTATTGAAGACTGTGGTACTTTGCTCTACTTGAAACCACAAATTACAAAACACTACAAGGCAAACACTGCAGAGAAAGGCAGAGAGCAAGGTGTAAAAGAGTCTTTTTTTTTGCCAGGCACAAAGAACAGCACAGCAATTTTTAATTAGGGGGTAATCTAAAATCCAGAAATGAACAAAAAAGTCCCCAATACTCAAAAATACCACCAAATATAATGACACAAAAGGCATTTACTGGAAGACTGGTCACAGCTGAGAATTGGAGACACATTTTTACGCAAAGGGTTCTGGGTCTAAAGAATAACAGAACAAACATAACTCCTCTTGTACAGTGGTAAGGGTAAATGAAATAATATTACACCTGTTTGGTTGTGCAGTCCATGTAGTGATGGACATATATACAGTATGTATTAATCAAGAATAGTAAATACAATGTGTAATACACAGAGACCGAGATTGAATAGTAGAGATTCTATTTTGAAGTGTGGCAGTCTGGTTGAAAGCCACAGAGTGAATAAGGTTTGAGTTGCCAAGACAACCTCCTTTCTAATGTTCCAGTTATTTTTGTGACGCAGTAAACACTCAGTCAGGAAAATGACTCATGTTATGTCATCTCCGTACTGAATGTTTCACAAGTTCAAAAAAACCTGTGCCAGCATGAAATTAAAAAAATCCTTTTCAGTTGTCCATACATTTCTATGCAGTTCGTAAAAGGTGAAACATTAGGGCTAAACAGAAAATTAAAAGAAAATCTTGGCGTATATGTCAAACTGACATTCAACAGACAGCAGCAGTACAGGTGTACCCTGTATGACAGATTTGTATGGCAGTTTTGAGTTTTAACAAACATCCAGAGCTTTTTCTCACAATGAATGCGAAGTTTGGCTCAGTTCCAAGTGATGGGATGATGTCTTCTTTCTGGAATCTGATGTAGGAACTTAATGCTGCAAGAAATTCAATTACAGAATCTGGTAGTGGCGGAACAAGATTTGAACAGAGCAAGGAACAGTATTCATGAGGACAGAGCAGTAAAATTGTGGGTAGCTGTTAGCTCTGGAATGACAACAGGTGTGGCTTTAAATCTCAGATGGGGGTCGCTGCAGTTGTATTCTTGAACAAGGTATTTTTCACATGTTTCCCTAGCAAACCCTGCTGTTTAAATGGGTAGAAAGATATTTAAAAAAACAGCTTATTGTAATCTTCGGAATCAATGAGAGAGAGTGTCGGCAAAATACATTAAGATTAATAATGGTCTCTTTCTGATATTTGTGTTGTGCAAACAGCAGGAGGCTATCGAAGGGCTGTGATAATTTTGTTGAGTTGCAGGAAGTTAAAATCAGAAACAACAAATTCACCCATGTTCATTGCCTCCACACACACATTCCAAGTGGAAAGCAGACAAAAATATAATCATATGCATTGATAAGTACAAAAAAACCCATGAAAAACACTTCTCACATAGCATTCTAGAGTACATGACAAAAATCTAGATCACTGCATTATGGAATTAATAACGGTTACAGGGATTATTGTGACCAGTGGCTTATATGAGCCATGGACATAGGCAATCCTTTTCATAATGAATGTCTGTTCTCACCTTTATCTGCAATAATCAATAAAAAAATATAATTACCCCTTAGATTTTTACAGCCCTTTTTATTCCAAAGGATCCTACAGTGCTTTATATATACGAGGAAACTCTTCATCCGACTCCATCCTGAAGGACAACACCAGTCTTGGTGACAAAAATCAGAAAACAAACTGTGAGAAATTACTCCACCAATTGAAATGAGGGGAGAATGCAGTAAGGTAGGTCAGATTGTACCAGCCCAAAGAGGAATTTAGCCTGGACACCAGGGTTAATACCCCACTTGTACAAGCGATACCATGGCGTGTTTAATGGCAAGTAGTCAGGATGTTGGTTTAATGTCTCATCTGCAGAAAGGTGCCTCCTACAGTACACCAGACTGGGGCACTGGAGTGCAGATTCTGGTCTAGAAGATTAATACATACTAGTCCACACCACTTACACCACTTACTCACAGCAGCATCCTGATTCACGCGACAAGATTAGGTGACAGGGTGGTATAAAGCTGCTGCAGAGTTAAATATTACACTTTCTGAATTTTAACTTAAAACAACAAAAACCGGTTTTGCCATAACCTTTGTTTTCACTGCGATTAATACCGTGTACACAAAATAAAATCTCACACTGTTGGAAATGTCCCAAAATAATACCCATGACTTGTTCAAGAATGCTGGTCAAACCTATCTGACCAAGGGCATGTCCTATAAAAGCAGGACACTACTCAATGCGTACTTAATGGACTCATAATTGCCTTATATCTTATTTCCATACTGTATCTCAGCACGTATCATGGTAATAACCTCTTAGCATTTGCAAAGATGCAATTTCAAATAAATTAAATGACTAGGCTTTACCTGATTTCTTACATTTCTTATTTATTTGTTTGATGCATTTATCCAAAATAACTTATATTTCTATTTATTTCTACAGATGGGCATTTTAGTGAAGCAATATGAAGCTCTTTGCTCCTGCTGTAGGATTTGAACCCACAACCTTCCAGTTATGAGGGCAGAGCTCTAATCACTGCTCCACACTGCTGTGCCTATTGTCATTTAATCCATGAAGAGTTCAAATAAAATTCCAAAACATTTCCGTCAATTAATCATATACAATCATCTCGGTGGACAATCTATTGATCTTTCATAAATTGAAAACTTTCCTTGTCGAGGTAATCTCCATCACTTGCCATATCATTTAGTTACGTCAGGGTGTTTTTATATGTTTTCACTAATGGCTGAATTGACCAGGGATTACCATAACCAACAGCAGAAAACAGCTTCTTACTGGAGCAGTGTCAGTGCCAACAGTCGCACCGTAGATCTGTACCTTGAGTAGATAAAGACACACATTGTGTTTTTTCTGTACATAGTGTTTGTGTGTAGTAAAGAAAGAAGCAAATCTGAACTAAGAAAAAAAAATGGTCTGGTC